TTTTTTTTTTTTTTTTTTTTTTTTTTTTTTTTTGGTTGGGCAGTAAATCATTTTAACAGTTTAATAAATATTTCTGAAAAACAAGTATTTCTGCAAGACTGGTGTCCTTTTGTTTGTGGAAAGTTAATACCATCTCTATGGGTCTGTATTCTTTCCCCTGAAAAAGGCTGACACAACTCTTCGTGGAAATAAAGCCTCAAACCGGGCAAGGTTCAGCACAGGGCCATTCAGAGGCTGACTAAAAAAATACAGTTTTAAATACATTAGCAAATATTTAGGAATTGCCTATGATGACAAGGCTACAGAGCCTTTTCTAGAAAGCTCTAAGCTGCTCAAGGGAAGATGCATGTCTGTATGTCCACATCCTGGCTCTGAAAAAAGGAGAAAGGAGATGCTTTGCCCTGTTTTCCTCAATTCAGGTACAACCAGCAGCACACCTAGTTTGCAGAACCAGATTTAAGCCCTGTGCACGCAGGACTTCACTGCAGAGAGGAGAGACCAGAGCGGCTGCAGCTGCGACCATATTTAACCAGGACATTGTCCTTCAGCGATTGTCCATGGACTAATCAGGAACATGAGGAGTTTCCTGTCCTGCTGACTGCTCCTTTGTGTTCATTCCTCTCATAAAAGGGAATGACATCCTCCTGTAATGTAAAAAAGAGGTTGCTTCTCTCTCACCTCACATAGCTAAGGCCATAGTATTACTAAAGATCTCACCTGTCCCAGCGTTTTCGAGAAAATAAAGTCATTTCCCACCATCTTCTGTCTGGGGGCACACTTTTCAGAAACCTACTTTGTTGTTATTCCATTAGTATTTCTTCAACAAGTGGCTATTTCATAAAGGGCATCCATCTCACTAAATGAGTGTGGACATCTGGCACACAAATAATTAAACACAGAGCTCTCTCGTGAACCCTAACGCAGGCAGCCCGATGGGTATCTATCGAGGTGTGCGCTCAGTTCCAGTGGGAGGCCCGTACATGTGGCACATTCCTTACATTCACCAGTTCAACAAATATTAATACAAAAGTTTATTTTCTCTGAAGAACAATTCAACATGTACCTTAACTGCATTAGCAACCGAACTACAGAGAGCTTCTAGCAGGCGAGTCAGGGGCACGAGACAGCACAGAACCCTGCTCCCAGCCCCGAGCTGAAGGCCACGTCTGCAGCAGAAACGTTGTGGATGTCAGAGCAGACACCACAGCCCAGACAAGGCACCGTCACCTACCGATGCTTGTCATCCTCTCTTTGTTTCTTGGTATCTCTTTCCCTGCTCCGGTCTCTATCCCTGTCCTTCCTGTCTCTGTCCTTCCTCTCCCTCCCTCTGCTCCTCTCCTCTTTGGAGTCCCTTTCTCTCTCACTTTCACCCCAAGCCCACGACCGCTCCCTTTCCGGCCATCGCTTGTCTCTGCTCCTTTCATGGTCTCGGTCCCTTGTTCTCCAGTCCCTTGTTCCTTCACGAGACCAGTTTCTTTTCTCTGCTGAGCCTTCCCCATAGAAATCATTCTTCATGTTTGGCAAATTGATGGGCTTTCGGAAAGGTCTGTCCCGTCCTCCAAACCGTAGCTGCCCAGATTCTTTTTTGCCCCCAAAACCACCTCCAAGCCTCCGAGGAATCCATCCCTTGAGAGTTCTCTCCAGTTCAAAGTCCACAAAGATCTCATGCTGATCTATAACCAGCCTGTTGGCATCTCTGTGGGCCTTCAAGAGAGCACGCTCCTCTTTGTACTCAATAAACGCGTAACCCTTGGAAAATCCCGTGACCAGGTCTCGAACCAGACGTATCTTTCTAATGTCTCCATACCGGGAAAAGACCTCCTTTAACTTCTCTTCCGTTGTCTGAAGATTGAGCCTTGCCACGAACAGGGTGAGGTGAGGATCTCCTGTGACTCCCTTGTTGGGTACGTAGCGTGCCAGCATAGCCCTCCATATGGCACGGTCGTGGGGCTCCTCATCCGTGCCATCGATGCTCCCGGCTTTGAGGGGGTCATACTCCTTCGCTATGGGGGCCCAGTCATTCATTGTCTAGCGGGTAAAAACCAGGCATCACACGGGTACTTTAGGAAGAGCAGCGAGTAGTGCAAGAAGCACTTTCAGCACTGCTGTACAGTATTTTTTCAATAAAAAAAATCCCTCCCTTCAATTTGATAAAACTTCAATAAACCGGCAACATGGCTGTTGTTTGAGGGCACCTCCCCGGGCGGAGCCACGGCGGGGAGCCCGGATCCGCCCCGGGCTGAGGGGAGCGCGGCGGCCCCTTCCCTCTCCCCGGCCTAAAGGGCCCCGTCCCCCGCCTGAGGGGGCCCCGCGGCCCCGTCCCGCTCCCCGCCCGAGGACCCCCCTGCCGCCGCCCCGCTCCCCTCACCTCTCCCGGCGAGGCGGGATGGCGGCTCTCCGCATCGGCAGAGGCCGATTCGCCAGGCCGCGGCGGGCCGGGACGAGGAGGCCGGTTCCCGCCGGTGTGAATTTCAACCCCTTTTCCCCTCTCCCTGTCAGGCGGAGGCGCCACCAACACACACGGACGCCGTCCCTCCCCGCGGCCGCCTCGCCTCGCCCTGTGGCGAATGTGGCGCTGAGGAACGGCCGATGCGTTCGCCTCCCTCCTTCCTTCCCCCCCTCCCCGCCCGGCCCGGTGCCGATGCTGGTACCGGTGCCGATGCTGGTACCGGTGCCCAACCTGGCGCCCCGGGAGCCACCCCCGGCCCTTCCCCGCCGTGCCCTTACCGGCGGCGGGGGGTGTCTCGTCAGGGCGGGAAGGGGCGCTGGGCCGCGGCCTCCTCCATGGAAACGGCCGGGGGCGGGAGGGCTCGCTCCGCCCGCGGGCCCCGCCGGCAGCGCCGCCCGGCCCGGCCTCCCCCGGGGGAAGGAAGTTAGCGGCGGGCATGCAGCAGGGCCGGGAGGAGGAGGAGGATGATCTGGAGGAGGAGGAGGAAGATGATGATGATGAGGGGGATGGAGGCCCGGAGAGGGCTCTGGAGAAGAGCCCCTTCCAGCTGACGGCCGGGGATGTCTACGACATCTCCTCCCTGGTGGGCCGGGACCTGCTGCAGCTGGGGGCCGGCCCGCGGGTGCCCGCCGCGCTGGCCCGGCTGCAGTTCCGCATCGTGAGGGTGCTGGAGATGCTGGAAGCGCTGGTGAGCGAGAGCAGCCTGGCCGAGGAGCAGCTGCGGGCGGAGCGGGACAGCCTGCGGCGGGAGCTGGAGGCGCTGCGGGCGGCGGGGGGCCCGGGCGGCCACCAGCAGGTGGGTGCCGGGGGGCGGCGGGGCCGGGGGTGGCGGCTGGTGGGGGGCACAGGCTCCAGGGTCAGCTTCCCCAACACTTGGGAACCCCAACTTGGCCTGTCCGCTTGGCCACAGGCAGGTGGCGAAGCCCGCCCTGACACCAGATGGGTCAGAGGATGCTCTTGGCACAGTCACCGGTCTCTCTCCGCAGAGAGAGCCTCAGAAAACTTGTTTCTCATCTTTGTAGAAGGCCGTGAAGCCATTTCTAGAGCGGAGATGGTCAGTGCTGTGGCTCCCTCGCCCCTGTTCCGCTGTGGCTACTAACCCCATGCTTTGGGCTCAGCGAGGTGCAGCGCTGGCAGAGGAGCCCAGACACACACGGGCAGAGTTTTGCTGTACAAATCCAGCATTTTACAGCTCCTGCTCAGCACCAGCCCCACAAAGACTATTTGCCATTCATGCAAAGGCTAAAACGTCATTCCGTGCAAGGGAGACTGATGTCTGTGACTGAAAAAGCCATTACCACAAAGGTCTTAAATTAGGAAATGAGAATTCATTTCTCACCTCTCTCTGCCACGGAGTGTTGGTGTGACGTTAAACAGGTTGCTCAGCCTCTCTTGTCATCAGAAAAGCAGGTAAAAGCAGCTTCTTGGCAAACTGGATTGCAAACTCTTTGGGACAGAGACGTTGCTTTGAGCTGTGGTCAGAGCCTGTCACAGTTGGGCTCTGCACTTGGCTGGGAAATGCAGGCACCAAGCCTATAATGAACTGGTTGGAAAAAAAATCAGGATTGCAGTGAACTCATACTGGTTCTAAGAATTACTAGGTATTTATAAAATTCAGAGTTTTTCCTCTAGGATTGCCCTGGTTTTGACAGGTTACAAGACCATGACCACCATCGTTTATTTTGCAGCTCAACCTTGGACCAGATAAAATGGTAATTGACCTCACGGATCCAAATCGCCCCCGGTTCACATTACAGGAGCTGCGAGAAGTATTGCAAGAGCGTAACCAGCTGAAAGCTCAGCTTCTTGTGGTGCAAGAGGAGCTGCAGTGCTATAAGAGGTATATCCTGAAGTCAGCAAAGAACTAATAACAATTACTCTTGTCTGGGGAGCTTACCAGATTGGAGTACTGTGGGTCTGAGCACCAGGATTGGGTTAGGCACTGTCCAGATGTACGAGAGGCATCTGTGCTCCCAAGAGCCTACAAATGAGCAAAGAAAAAGGGGGGAAGGATGAAGTCTCTAAGCAACATAATTTTAAAACTAAACTCCCCCTTGTTCTGCGCAGCTCGCAGCCTGTTCCCATTAATTACCACCATAAGCCTACACGCGGTTACTCCCCCTCCACAGACAAGCTGGGTTCTCATGCCCACGAGTCGATCTGTGCAGCCACGGCAGTTGCACACGTACCGTTCTCGTCTAAGGCCACGCTACGTACCAAAGAGCACGGGGGTTTCCATCTCGTCTTTAGTCAAAATTTCCTTCCTCCTCCGGCTTGCCGTGGGGGCCGTGAGCTTATCTACTGCTCCTTTGCTCCCACAGGGGTTTGGCATTGATCTAGAAAGCAGAATGTTAGGCCCTTTTGTCATCATTCAATATAAACTGTGGGGTTTTTTTTATAAGACTACCAACACAGGGTTGTTTAAACCACTTAAATGTGCAAAACAAGAAATATTTTGGGCTTTCTAGAAGGGACCAGCCTGGGAGAATCAGCGTGAGCCAGAGGGTGGGATGCAGGAAGGGTCTTGCTCTCAGCGCTACAAATTCCTTCACTGCCAAGGCTGCTCTCCCCCAGCCTCTGCCGCTCATCATCAGGTTGCATTATACACTCTTTGGGGCAAGAAACTACTTCTTAATCTAAACACAAAATGTCTGAGCACGTTAGATTCCAGTTGAGATGCTCGGCAACAGCTTCTTAGATACAGTAAGCCCGCCCTTTGCCTGGGCTGTAACAGGCAGGTTAAGCCAAGAAGTTAAAGTTAAATCCAAGAAGTCATTTTACAAACTGCTCGACAGCACTTCTCTCTGCACCGAGGGGCACCGCTTCCCCGGCTCAGCTGCCTGCCTTCGCTGTGCTGCCATTGGAATGGTGTTTTGCTTTGTTTCCCAGCTGCATTGCACAGCTTATTACAGGCCAAGTTAAAAATTAACAGTGTGAATGTTTTTAGGTTTTGAGCGATTTAAGTCACAGAGCTGTGCACCCAGAGAGTGCATCAGGACTGCTTCTCAGTTCAAGTAATTCCACGTGCTTATCTCCTCATACAGCGTTCCAGCTTAAGACAAAAACCATCTTCCCTTGAAACATTCATATAAAAATCCTAATTATAATTGTACAGCCATAAAGAGTAGTTGTGCAGGGGAAGGAGATCAATATATAGTCTAAAATGCCTTGTGTGCATTGGATATAAGTTTGATATAGCACAAGGCAACTGACACCCTTGCAGAGAATGGCTTAAAACAACTAATGATATTTGGGGTTTACATTTTTAATGATGATTACTGAGTAGAAGGTATCATGCAAATATTAGAGATCTGCACTGTCACCAAACAGCTCCTGGTCCCATTTCTCTAAGAGGAGAATCTGCCTCAGAATTATCCCATGCCTGATGTTGCACCAATTTCTAGATACTCTCCTGTATTTTTATTTCCGAGGTCCAGAGGAGGATTGTTGCTCATTAGGAGTGTTGCTGAGCTACTTTCAGCCTTCAGCTATTGCAGTCACAAGCTTTGATCCACTCAGCTCTCCAGATAAATGAGGTCAGCTCAGGACAGTAAACTGGCATGCTGTGAAAACACAGTGCAGCACGCAAGCTGGTAAAATCTAACCCCATTCCAAGCAGGGGAAACATCCTTTGGTAAAACTGAAGCTTTTGCCTAAAATAGGTGGTTACAACTTTGTAGAGTGTAGCAGCACTGAAGAGGATGATAAAAATCTACAGCTCGGGCAAAGCCTTTCTTTTCTCCTCTGTAGGATGGAAAGAGGAACAGGCATCTGCCTTGCAGGGAAGCTGGGAATCTCCCCTGTGTTCCCAGCTGCGCGGTGTGAGCCTTCGTGGCTGCGCTGAAGGTACCGCAGATCCACCCATGCAGAAACTCCCCATCTGTGTGTGCACCCTGCTGTTGTCTTTGGACTCTTGTACAAATCCAACATGTAATTAAGCTTCCCCTTCACTCCTGTTAGGATTTGCCATTCTTCCTCTGTAGAGAAGTCAGCTCGTTACTTGTTTGGTGTTCTCATTAAAGCATAGCCTAAGCAATGTTACATTGCAGCATTTAAGGAAAATAAGACCAGTTCGTCACAAGAAATAGGCCAGGCTGCCATCCCTGTCCTGTGAACACCCGTTAACCCACATCCTAGGCTGCCCAGGGAAGGGTAGAACATAGGACAAACTCATGAAAAATAAACAAACCCTCTTCTTTTCCCAGTGGGATCATCTCACAGAGAAGGGACCAAACTGAAGAACTGGAAAAAGAGGCCAGTGGCAGCAACCCTGGCACCAGCAAGGACAGTGAAGAGAAGACAGTCATCAAACGGCTGTAAGTTTGTCTGCATCTTTTTTGGCGGAATATGGGAGAACATGGCATGCTTCAGACTTGAAGAATCCAGGGTTGAATTCTGAACTTTGGCCTACTTAGCTGGATATTGTTTTCTTCTGCTCTCCCTGTAAAATTAAAACCCGATAGAGAAACCCTTTCCTGTGGACAAAGCACTCCACAGGAAGGCAACCTCCACCCAGACAAGCGGGGCGTCACTTTTTTCTAGGAAAAATAAGCATTTCAGAACAAAACTATGCGACACTCTCCTCCCCTGCTAGCATGTTAAGACTCTGCTGTGGGAACACGCCAGCTGTCCCCGGAGGTTTGTTTACATTGTGTTCAGCAGCTGTACCCAGTACCCACAAGCTCAGGCTGTGGCCCCAAAGTTCCCCAAAATAGCAGAACACGTTGACACAGCCAGCTCACTCCACGTTCCTTCTTTTCCAGTTGTTCATTGTTGTCTCCCTTTTGTTCTCTTTATTTGTTTTAGGTTCTCTTTTAAACATGGAAAACGAGCATCCTCGAGAACTTAACCACTCCTGTTGGGAAATGGCATGGATGAGCCTCTAAGGTGTCAGGGGAGTTGATGATGGGAAGAGAAAGCATCACTCCTACTGTAGAGAATAAGCAGTCTCACAAAAATGGTGTTGTATGATACTCTTTCAGAATAGATTTTACTTTGCCTTTTTTTTTTTAGAAACTGTTTAAGACAGACACTTTTTGTATTTCTTAGATTCTGGCCAGACATCACCCACATGTAGAGAATGTTCATACAAAGGTGATTTTTATTCTTATTAAAAAAGCCTGTGATGATCTGTAGTACCCACTTATTTATCCTGTCTATCAAATTGCACATCCCAAATGATTTTGCAAGATGTAAGTATTTTCAAGAGCTACATACCATTCACAAGTGCATTCAGAGCAAAGGGCTGGGAAGGAAGAACCCATTGAGATCGCAGTCCCCACTGCTCTTATGTAGAAAGTAATTATCTTACACAACACAGAACTGCTTGAAGAAAACCCCACCAAAGGAAGGTGCAGTTGGGCTGTGACAGCAGAGCCCCTGCACATACACAGGAGTGGCCAGTTGGAGTTGAGATAAAAGATGGGGCCGAAGAGGACAGCAAGGGAAGAGCACAGCTCTGCCTGCATGAGGGACTGATGTCTTTTAAGAAGTTCAGATGTGCTCAAACTAGAACAGATGCACCAAGCTTTTCATTTCTGACAGCTAGAGGTCTCCTGTGGTAGACGGTTGTATTTTTCATATGCTCTGTTCTTTCAGTCATCTGTCACAAGCTGGGTATTAGCCTCAGTAATGAGATTTATCACTGGTGGAAGCATATAGGGCAAACAGAGGAGTAGAAAAATCAGCTTGAAATACACCAATTAGGATCCACATTTAGAAAAGCAGAATCTCCAGAGCAGAAAACTCTGAACAGACTTAAAAGGAGCAGTGACAGGTATCAAACTATGATCTTACTGTCTTCAGAAGTGTAAGGAGGCTCTGAAATCTTTTGATTCCCTCTCATATGCTAGCAGCATGAAAAAATATAGGACACTTCACACATCTGCTCAGATGCATGATGCGAATGCAGCTTTGCAGAAGGTAGAACTGCAGTTTCCTCCCAGAGAGAATTTGTGAGCAACTGTACGTTAGCAAAGCAACATCAAAGATGTCTGACCCAAGCAAGCTGGTCCATCTAGGGCACAGAACTGCTGAAGTGATTTTGCCATCTTCAAAATAGTAATAAGCCTTGACCATGTCCCTGTGACATTTTCTAGAGCATGGTAGCATGGAAGAAGTCGCTGCATTTCCTTAGCAGAGGCTTTGTATTTAGAGAAAATCAATCACCCATCAGCAACAGCCAGGATACACCTCTGAGCTGAAGAGACATTTATCCAGGGATATATTTTCTGATTGCCTCTAAAAATAGGGGGGAAGGGGAATTATACCACAAAACACACTAATCGCTCTTCTAAGTCTTAATGAAACAACTTCAGGTAATAAACTGCACAGATTAAACAGAGCTGTGCAAAAATAACAACCTGCAAGGAAGGCACAGAAGACTGCCATAGCCCTAGGCCATTCTTTGCAGTTAGTTGAGGAGACAATAATGAAAGCTGCAATTATTATTTTCAGTTTGCCATTTAAGATGCTCTTTATTAAAAATAAATAAATAAATAAAGGTGGGAGTTCACCAGTTAAAGCAGACAGGAGAACACCTCAACCTTTTTGAGCTAGTCTTTCTCAAGTGAGCCACACAGATTCTCTTAAAAGGGGAGCAAATTCCTTGGCTATGGCTACACCAGAAGAGACTACAGTCCTGTCAGAGCAACCCCACTGCCTCTGGCAAGGCCACAGCAGCCTGACAAGCAGTTTAGCTCCCAACCAAGGGCATCTTCCCCTGCTTTACCTCTTGTTAGAAGGTGAAGCCTTCCTATAAGGCACTGGGATAAAAATTCAAGCGGCATGTTTCTGTGAAAAGTATTTTGAGACATATATCTCAGTTCCTAGAAAAGTAAAGAATACGTATTCAGTGCAACATCAGCTTTATTACCATCTTCCGATGCAGTGCTACTTGATTACCAGTTAAGCATTTCAAAGACAATTTTTTTTCAAATGTAAATTAGGGAGAGATCTTCCCCCTTTCTTGTTTAGAAAAGTGACGCTGAAGAACAGTTTTAAGCTATTTGACCTGATAGAGAACAAGCAAATGTTTAAATAAAAAAAGAAAGGAAGCATTTTATTCCAATTTTGACTTCAGGGAAGTGCTCTAATAAAACAGGATACTGTACACTGCTGTAGTCTCTGTTACTGAGACCAGAGAAAAAGAAATCAGTGCCAACTCAAATAAGTCAGCCAACAAACCTTACCTGTAACTCAGTACATGTGAGATAACAGGTCTCCAGTTAATTCTTCAGAAATGGTGAAAATACACAGGCTATCTCTGATGAGCTTGCCTTGTGTTAAGTAGGAAATAATATAAAGCATTTTATGGCTAATGATTTTCACAGCTTTCTTTCAAAATGCTAATGATCTGCAAAGGAGACAGGTACTATAGCAGCCACTTCATCAATAATAAATATATTCTTTATTTTACAGAGACATTGTCTTCAAGTTTTTAATTTAAAAAATACATCACTAAGCCACCTCTCTTGCTGCTGGAGCATACAACCAGGATGTTGTTGCTATTTGACCTATCACATAGGCAAGCACATAAGATTGTCCTAGAGGGCATTAGCTGGAACAGCAGCCGCCTTCAAGACATGAGGAACAGGAGACATTAACAGAGCCACAGATCCCTTGCTGACATCTTCCAGCAGCAAGCGTGGCTGATGGCTCACAGCCATTTTCATCTACACACATGCCAAGCCTGCCTTGGCAAAAATTCCGACTGGTAAGAATTCATCTTTAACATAAAGGACCTGCATTGTATTGCCCGCCTATATCACAGATTTGGTTCTCCAACAGTAACGTTACAAACATCGTCAGATGCTGAGCACTCGACTCCCATTTAAGACAGTGGGACCAGACCAAGCTGGACAGACCTACAGGACCAGGCAATAAGGAATCTACTTTCTTCATTGCATGAACTCCATCATTTCAGTTTGAAGCTGCATATGAAGAGGACTCCTATTTTTGGAACCGCTATGCTCTACTTCAAGCATTCACAGTAAATAAATAGCTTCTGATGTGGCTAATTAGCATAGGAAGGTAATAAAAAATTTTTGGAGACAGCTTTTTCTTTTACGTCTTTAAAATCCTCTGGGAGACACCTCCAAGAATCAGCCATCAATTATAAAAAGGTACCATCTTAAATTTTAGAAAATAAGTAATGTCAAACATTGATTCTCTCTGTGAAGTTCTATCTTCACAATTCTGATCAGTATCAACCCAGTCTGTCAAAATCCATCCTCATTTGGCTTGGAGTCATTTCTCTGAGGAAAGCAGCCAATTTGACCATCCATTTCCCTCAGCGCCAGTGCATTTAAAGTTCATTGCCAACATGAGATATGACACTGGAAAAACTGGATCCCTACCACAAATTATTTGAAAACGATAGAAACAGTCGCATCCGTCTCAGAGAAGCCTGTCAGCACTGGGTTGTAAAAAACAGTCTGACAAGCAGTCAAGCCGTTGGATGTACGAGTCAGAGTACAGAAGTACATCTGCTGTCATAAAGCTAATGCCAAGTTCATCGCCCCACGAAGTGGAGCATGAGATTTCATCGCAAAAGCAGAAGCACAACCCAAGTGATGAAGTTTCTGTGCAAGTCTCTGACTGCATGCTCAAGTGGCACCGGTCACTACGCAGAAGTATTCAAATTTTAGGGAGAGTTTCCTTTCACGATATGGAAGTTTTGGCAATCTAAGATCAATTATTCAAGCCTGCCTGGAAAACTGTAATAGGTAATTAAATACTGCAAAGCAAAAAGGTAGTTTTTAAGGAGCTCAGAACACCATAAGCAGTCCGCTAAGAAAGCTGAGGGAAGTGAGGACAGGGGAAAAAAAAAACATCCACTGGCTCCTTGCAGAGCGCTCAGTCCAAAAAACAAAAAGAAACAACCCCAAACAAAGAAGATGAATTAGTGTTTCAGCCATGGATGAGCTTCAATGGAAGCTTTGCTTCTGTCTCCATAGTCATACAACAGTTCTTCACCTGCTTTAATGTCTCTGGAAGCTATCAATATGAGATGAGGCACACCATCGATGTCATGAAGCTTTGTTTGACAATTGCCACATTTGCTGTGATTAATCAGTCTTCCCAGACGATTAGTTTCTTTTGTAGCATCAACACTGAAAGAACAAGAACAGAATGCAGGATTGCTGCATATCATGCAGTCACATTTGTGCAAATCAGATAAAGAACTAGGAACCCACACAAGGCTTGAAAAATTAAGGAAAAACAGAACATCACAGAATATTCATATGGTTGAACAGACAGCACATAATATGGCAGTTTACCTAAACTAAAGCAATTCTGGGAGATTAAGTTAGCACACAACCCAGAAAATGGGAAATTTTGGACTATGTTTTTGAGCTGCCTGTTTCCAAGCAGCTCTCAACTGTTCGTGAGGAATAGCAGAACCCAGATGTAAACCACCACCAGAAAGGCTCGATGCCTTAAAAGCTCTCCTCTCGAGAAAGCTGTCCCCAAGCTAAGTAGTATCCACTGAGTAAACCAGCAAGTTTCTACTCACGCAGAAGGCTGAAAACACCTAAATACTACATGCCCAACTTCCAGAGACCTGTACCCTAAAGCTCTGGTGCCCCTCATTACACAAAGAAGTATTACAGTTGTCATTGTGTATCTAGACTGAAGTCAGACACTTTGAATATAAGGCACTTCAAGGTAATTAATGTACAGGTTAAGTGACCCACCCTCCAGTATCATCAGCCAAGGAAGAATGTAGTTGCTTTGAAAGAACTAGACTTTAGGGCAAATGATACAGCAAATAGAGGGACAAAGCATGAACACAGGGTGGGTGTCAGGTACCAGAGAAAGAAGAGACCCAGTCAAAAACAGTGGAAGGAAATGTTTCTCTTCCAGTAAGCATGCATACTACTTTTCAGACAAAATCCTTGCAACTCATGAAAAGTAGTTAATTTTACAAGAGAATAAATTTAGGCAGAAGTCCATGGCAGAGACAGCAGTCTCATCTAAGCAGATACAACTCTCCGTATAGCTTGTGCTGTACTTAAGAGAACAGGTCTTTGAGTCAGCTACCTTTTAGCTCAGAGGTACAGGAGGTTCTTGGACCATGAAAGACTTCTCCAAAAAGATTATCCTAATTCATGGTTCCCATTATTTTTTTTTTTCTTGAAAACAAGAAAAGACTTAGCAGCATTCAAAGCCTCTATCACTCAAGGAAAGAAAAGCTTACCAGTACGTTTTGCTGAGGTACTGAAAATAGTACATATAGCAGCCTGTGGATGGATCTTGAGCGTACAGAGCTTCTCGCTTTTTAGCATCAGTGATCTCTATGAGATCCCCATGATATTCAACTACAAATTCTCCTCGATTAAAATGTTTAGTAGCAATGACTCCTCTCCCTTTGCCATCGATGTAATCAATCTGTTGAGTTGAAAAGAAAATCAGCTGGGAAATTAGAAAGTATTTACATGACTGGAAATATGCTGTTTAGTGAGAAACGAGTGATTTGTCATTAAAAAATGCTATAGCAGGATATTTGTGTGTATTGCAGACAGCTGTAGAAGCACAATGCACAGCATTGTGGAAGAAATATAGGATGAGTTTGGGACACACCCTGAGTTATCAGGTATTTTGATACAAAGCCTTCTAATCAAAGAACTAAGAATTACTTTACATAAACCGTACACAGAGTATAGTTATCTATTTTTGCTTTTAAACTACCTATTAGCTGAGGCAGTAAGCTTTTCCGTTTCAGGTTCACCATCATGCACAGGTTAAAAAGTTTGAGGAACAGAAGGATTGATCACAGAAAATACATTTATCACCCAGCAGTGTAATTTATTATTCCTGCCTCCCCCTGCAAATTGGACAACTCCAAAGAAGTTCTCCTATCACTGTCATAGAAGTGACAGTGGGAACTGCAGGCTGCTGCCTTTCAAGAATCGCAGTTCTCTGCACTAAAACAGAAAAAAATTCTGTTTTAAATTCTAAAAAGGATGAGATTAGAGTAACCCAGATGGTAAGCACTTGGTCCCAATAACTAGTATTTGCAGTGAGAGGAAAACCAGTACAACCCATTATCTCAAATGCCATAATGAAGACCCACAGCAACCAGCTGTAAACAGGCTAAGAGAACTTGCTACTGTACAGACAGTATATATGGGTGTTGCCTTTAAAGCATATGACAATTAAGATGCTATATCTAACCCCTTTTCTGGAAGCTAACCCAAGAAATGAGATACTGAAGGGAGCAAACGCATTTTCAGTAAAACCTATAAAGCTCCTTTAATATTTATGACTGAGGCTGCACGTACTTATTCTTCAGAGCCAAACATTGCCCATCCAAAAGGAAAGACAGCTCCAGTTTTGCTGCACTTTCATCTTACTATCGAGGCACTGCAGCAGCTCCGAGTCAGAGTTCTACTACTTTGTGCTTAAACAGATCAACAGCAAGATACCATATAAACAGTACAGCTACTGAGGCTGGCATTGCCATTACCTTCATTCCTTCTTCCTTCCCACTTGTAATTAGCTCATCTATTTTCCTCCTCTCCTCAGTCTGCAGAGGAAACAAGAACAAATAAAACCACAGTGTTGTTGATAGCTTTTGTAGCTTATTCTATAGCTAAAAGCAAATTATTAGCCAGCGGCACTCATTTTTCCAAACCATGCCACATTTCTACCAAAACTGAATGGTAAAGAGACAGATTTCTGTCCCTCAACATATATAAGTAACTAGATTCTATCCTAAAACAGGATCAGCACTTCCAAATTTTAAGAATGTTCTTAACAATACGCACAGTGCACAATGCTATTCATATTTGGCCAATTGAAACCATTTACACATAGTTATGCACTTCCTCAAATGCTCGATTACCCCACAATGTTGTAAGTAATGTCATTTTAACAGAAGCACTACCTCCAATTCAGATTTGCTCTTCCTGGAACTTCTTCTAACTGGGTAATAATCTGTCACTTTTCGATTTGGTGTCCTCCCTTGCGTTCTAAGGGATAAGAAAAATAGAGAAAACACACATATTTCAGTCTATTTCTGAAGCTACACCTTTAGGACAGAGGTATCTAAGAAATTGTTATTTTCAGCTTGGTTTGTTAAAAAGTGATCAATATGAATCAGTATTTCTTGTCAGTATTCTTCACTTCAAGCCAAAAGATAGATCCCATTTTTGTTCCCCACAACATTTCTATTACTCTAGTACTAAGTCTTTAACAACAAGAACGAGATGCCATTGGAAACCAACTGAAGGTCACGTTACAAATCTGAAGCCCCCCCATGTGCCTTGCCAGAAGGCACTCTAAAATTTAGGTCATGAAAACCGCTTGGCAAGGAATTCATTAATGTTAGGTCACATTACTCTGATATCATGAGAAAGATTATCAGCTGTGCCAGGAAGCCTCCAACTGTAATTAATCTAATATTCTGTTTCTGACAAGATACATCCCCATTTGTCCACAGAAAAGTAGGTCTTTATGGCTCATTAATTTCTTTTTCTGTTGGTGATCAGCAAATATTTCACCTAAGATAAAATACACTAGCCTTACTTTCAAGAAAAACAAGAGTCCTCTGCAAGGTAGATAAATACTTTGAGTGCTATTTTGTATTTTCAAACATATTATTCTTGAGAAAACAAAGAAGCCTCCTTTAAGATTTGTTCCCCTCAACATCACTATTTGCTTAAAAAAGGCAACAAAACAAGAGTAACAATTAATTTCAGGGTCTAAGGGTAGTTCCTAAAGGAAAAATGCAGATCAAAGCCTTCTCGTCCAAAAGGCCACACAGAAGACAAGCTTTTACAATTCCAGAAGTCACTTACTTCCTCCTTGGTCCACGTTTTGCTTTAACCATCTTTTTCTGAGCTGGCTTTGCATTGGCCTCATCAGCACAGTCTGAAGGCAGGGGTGTCTTTTGGGTTTCTACAGTTTCTTGGTTTTGATCAGAGGAGGGCACCGAAGCATTGCACCCACTTTCTTTATCTTTCTGGTCTTCTGGTTTCATAGCACCTTCAATTATATTGCCACCATTCTTTTTCTCTGGTGACAGGAAAATAAAGTAAGGCTCTGAACTTAGGATCATCTATACCAGAGGGCTTTAAATGAATTCCAATCGTTTCTAGTCCAAGTTTCTAGTTCTGTCAAACAGGAGAAAGAGGAAGGGAATGATACAATCTCTTTCTACTAGAACCTAGAGACAGGCTGTTACTCATCTTTTGACTAGTCATTGCTACAGTACAGTTAGTACAGAGGGAGGGATGAGTAGGGAAGGGGTAAAACAGAGCCCAAGTACTTCATCATGTGAAGTTTGTGACTTTTTTTAACCAAACTTGACGTCATGGTTTAACCCCAGCCAGCAACTAGGACCATGCAGCCACTCGCTCACCCCCTTCTCCTACAAGAGAAAAGGAAAGGAAAAAAACCCCAAACTCGTGGGTTGGGTTTTTGCACATCCCTGCCCCTGGCCAACCCCCATTTATATACTGAGCACAATGCCTATGGTATGGAATATTCCATTGGCCAGCTTGTCTTGTCAATGTTCCCTCTCAGCTTCTGTGGAAAGCTAAAGAAGTTCAACTAATGTAAAACATTAGCTAAAACAACTAAAACAGTATGCGTTATTAGCATCACTCTCACACCAAACCCAACACACAACATCTACTAGAAGGAAAGTTAACTCTATCCCAGCTGACACTTCAGCTGAAGTTGCTGAACACACAGCAACTTCAGTGCAGCGTCTGAAACAACTGCACAGTTTGCATCTGGCATACTAAATTATCAAGTTGCCATAAGCTAATCAACATCCTACACTGAAGAGGGAGAGGAAGCCTCTCTGGATCCTGCACTGCTGGATCAGTAGCTGCAGACGCTGATACCAAGTGGCCAACATCACTCAAGCAAAATCCACAGGAGCTAAAGGGCTGAGACTTACAAGAAGTCTACCCCCACCAACCACCATTTTCTTGGTTGTGTGCAATCCTACCTTAACATGACCACATCCTCCTTTCTCAGCCAACTGATTTAGAGGTAGGTGAGCACGGCTTAAAGCTGCATAAAGTTTTTTATTTAAAGCAAGTCATGGGGTTTAACAGTCCCATCTGCTAACACAGATGCTTCAACATCACTGAAGAAATGAAACACAGCCACAAGGCCACAGCAGTGGGACAAGCTGAAGCCATCTTCATTTTGTCAAAATTGGAGAGCTAAATTAGGAGCTAAAGGCTCTAAGTTGCCAGAAAACCTGACACTCCCTGTGTTGAGTGGGACTTAAAATACCTGCTTGCTAAGTGTTTGCATCAAAACGTTTTGACAAATTACCAAGGTTATTAAACGCACCTTTAAACACAAGACAGCTTTTTTTCCCCCCCTCCATAAACTTATGGAGCATTCTCATTTCTACTCGCTACAATGAAGCATCTATGAAGCCTGGCACTCAGCATCCACAATCTGTGCTCCTCATTTTCACCACCTTTAATTCACCCTGAAACTTTAAGGATTGTTTCTTTTTCTACCAGTACCTCTACCTCATACCCGATTTGACTTTGAATTGCCTTTATACAAATTACTATGAAGTAGTTAAATAATAGAATAAACCAGTTCTAGGTAATAAAACCAACAAAAAAAAGTATTAGATAAACTGTCAAACACTGAACTCAAGAAGGACGGTAGTAAGAGAATTGCAGGGAGATTAGGGCTTATTGACAATGCAAGTATTAGCTTTTTATATCCAGAGAGACAATGCAAACATAGCCAGACAAAAAACAAAGGAAAAATGGCCTGGTAAGTCTGTGACCTAAATTTTGAAAAGGATAAGGGCACCCTCATCTTTGTAGGGTTATAGTTTCCCGATAGAGTTGTAGGGAATGCAACTGGGCCAGGGGAGGTGCCCGGCCTTCTTGACTATGTACTAAAGTTTTCAAATCGGGAGTGGGGGAGCACATTTAATGAGGCAAGCAATCCAAAGATCAATCTTACCATCTCCTTTCCTGTAGGTTTCGTTTAGTGTTTTGCCCTGACATTTCACCTCGTGATACATGACAGAGTTTTCCTCTTGAAGCGGGGAGCGAGCACCAGGAGTTTTGTTAGGATTCAGGTAGCTGTAGATTTTGGATTGACCAATAAACACATTCTCCTAAAACAGACCCACACAAAAAGTCAGTACATCACAGAGATGCCAGGTTCATCCAGTTGGTATCCACAACACACTACAAAGACCAGGGCTGACAACTGGCTCTGCTAATGCAAATTAAGCTGCTTTAATGCATCATCCTTGCTGCTGTTGCTATTTCTACTAAGTGAAAACATAACGGTGGCAAGCACTCAGAGAAATTTACTAATACAAACTCTCAGTCCAAGAGGACTTTCATATGAAATGTGGCAGGATGAGGTAGTCATAACTAACTCCAGCCTCCACCCTGTGCTTCACAGTATGAACTCTGGTGCTAAAAAAAAAAAAAAAAAACCAACCCAAAAACCAGCCCTGCGTTCCTCAGGAGGAAGACAGCCTCAGAGAACACAAGCCAAAAAAAAATATGAACAACACAGCAAAAATTGCCCAAGCCTAGAACATACCTCTCATAGCCAGAGAGCTATAAGCTTACTCAAACACTCTTATGAGGTGTCAAATGTTACTGCAGTTAATTATTCGCTCTGAGCAAGACAGGAATCAGTTTTGCACAGTCTACCTTGAGTGACACCTCTCAGTGAAGTCTGGGATATAAACAATGCTATCTTTTTATCCATTATATTTCACAAAATAAAGTGTAGAAGTTGTTCATGGCAAAAGAAACATTAAAGAGTCTACACAAAGCACTCATGCGCGGTCTGGAAAACGGTAAAACCCTCTGGCACAGTCAAACCCCACAGAGACCAGAGTTTCTGTGGCTTGGGCCAACAGTGAGCAGTATCAAATTTAGCAAAGCTTAGTGGAATCGTGACACCTTTGCTTTTACTGTCTCCTGCTACCTCGCCAAGTTTGACTGACTGCGCAGTACATGTAGGGCACACAAATTTCAACTGTGAGATCTTGGTGTCGGGACAAGCAGATGCAACTTGGCCAAAATGTGTTTGTCTTGGCTATAGTTTGACTCAACTAAACCAATTTTCAGACATTGCAAGCCAGTTAAAGCAACAAAAACATGCATCCATTTTTTTCAGAAAAGCACAAAGGTTCTCATTAGTAAAAATAGCTCAAATATAGCTGATTAAACAAATACTCCAGTATATGTAGTAACACAAACCCTAAAAAAAAGGAAACAAAACACACAATAGAATACATGGGGTAATTTTAATAATTAACATAATAATGAGTAACAAACTTAACATATACATAATTCACACACAAAATAAGACCAGTTAAAGGTTCAAGTCTCAGTCCACAAATAAGCTTTACTAATGACTAATGTTACAGCAGAACAGCCTGAGAAAAAGCAAGTCAGTTAGACACTTCTTGACTTCCAATATTTCTGAAGGGTCTATGAAAGGCAAGACCCGTTTATTAAAATGCTGGGACTTTTAACGATGGAATAGTGTGGAAATACTCCATTTTAACAATTGCAAGCAGTGAACACTGTGCTGCAAAGTTCTCAAGATTTAGTGAAGAGTTTAAATACGGGCATTTCCGGAGAAAGCCAGAAGCAGTGAACTGCAGCAGTCCACCTGCCAGCAGAGCCTTCTCATTTTCAGTACACCATTAACAGGAAACTAACGACTATTTTTCCAGCGTAGTTTCCTGCCCTCATTCCCAGCTCCCTGCCTGCTGTGCTCCTGGCGCTACTGAGATGCGGCTGCCACGTCTTTGTCTGTGCCAGGCTTGAAACCCTCAAGAGCAGGGATTTTCTCAGGGGAGCACAGCACACGAAGGGCTGCTGAGGAGCTCCAGGATTTGATGCAACAACCACAATTATTTCCACGGGGGGATTTTAATGCAAAGTGACCATCAACCTCCGGCCAACTGCCTGTCACAGCACTACAGGGCAGGAAAGATGGCACGGAGGGATTGCCGAGCCTGGGGCCTGGCCGCTGGCTGACAGCCCCGGCGGCGCCCCGAGCTTGCAGGGTAGCTGCGGCAGGGTACGGGGAAAGGCGAAAAGAGTCCGATTCTAGTTAAAGTTAACCCATTTCTGAATGACCCCGAGGAGCCGCAGAAGCCAGGCGCCCGGGGCCGCGCGGCTCCCCCAGGCAGCCCGCAGGCCAACCCGCTCGCATAGTGGGGGGAAGCGGAGGGCGCGGCAGACCCCGGGAGCCACCCGCTCTTCTCCGCCCGCCCAGGCCCGGGCAGTGCTTACCCCGCCGGCCCGGGGGCGGCCGGGGCCCTTCCTCTCGGCGCTCTCGGGACTCGCCTCCTCTGCGCCGCCCGCCCTGGCCTTGGGCATGTTCTTCCCTAGGAGCAAAGGGGGAAGATGGGCGCCTGAGCCATGTCCGGCGCGGCCGCCCGCGGTCATCGCCCGGCCGCCGCGGCCT